TGCCGCACCCCCAGCTCTTGCGGGTGGCCCCGCGCCCTGGCCTGCCGCTCTGTTCCGGCCACTGGCTCTGTGCCCGAGCCTGCGACCGGGACTCTACTCCCTGGCCCTGCACCCAGAGCTCGGCTCCCAGCAACTCTCCCCAGGGGCTGGCCCTGCGCCACGGGGCTGCTTCTCGGGCGCCAGCCCCATGCCCGCTCCCAGCTGTGACCTCAGCCTGTCTGCGCCTCCCCCCCTCGCAGACACGGCTCTGCTTCTAGCCCTAAAAGGGGCCAAAGGACAGTAGGGGGAACAGCCCCATTATTTAAAATGTTAGGACGCCACTGCTCGCCAGCCTCCCTTGCTCACTGTATGCTGTCAAAGAAGCACCTCCATCCTTCTCCCATGCTCATGTTGTGTGCCTGCCGGTCAATCTCTGCAGAGATCCTTTATTAGCTTCCCTCCCTTCCTGAAAACTAGCCTTGCCCTGATGCCTACAAAAACCTTAATGAGTGGTTGCTGGTATAGTAAACCCACAATTGACCAGGCTGAATGGTGTTGGTTCCTTGTTTTCTGTCACCTCTCTCTAGCCATCTATTCTCTCTTGCTTTAGTCTGTTTGGGTATGTCTACACTTCCCCGCTAGTTCAAACTAGCGGGGGTAATGTAGTCATCCGCAGTTGCAAATGAAGCCGGGGATTTGAATTTCCCGGGCTTCATTTGCATGAAGCCGGCCGGCGCCATTTTTAAATGCCGGCTAGTTCGGACTCCGTGCCGCGCGGCTACACGCGGCACGGACTAGCTAGTTCGGATTAGGCTTCTAACAAGGTGTACAGCTAGTTCGGATTAGAAGCCTAATCCGAACTAGCTAGTCCGTGCCGCGTGTAGCCGCGCGGCACGGAGTCCGAACTAGCCGGCATTTAAAAATGGCGCCGGCCGGCTTCATGCAAATGAAGCCCGGGAAATTCAAATCCCGGGCTTCATTTGCAACTGCGGATGACTACATTACCCCCGCTAATTTGAACTAGCGGGGTAGTGTAGACATACCCTAAGCTCTTGGGATAGAGCTGGGGTTCGTGTTCTGTGTGTACAGCATATAAGAACAGCCACACTGGGTCAGACCAAAGATCCATCTATTCCAATATCTTGTATTGATAGTGGCCAATGCCAGGAGGCCCAGAAGAAAAGATCAGAGCCATAATCAACTAGTGATCCATTCCCTGTTCCCCATTCTCAACTTCTGGCAAACAGAGGCTTT